ACAGACCAGTGATATACCACCTAGAAGAACGTTTGACAACCCCCCCCCAATATGAACCAGGCCTGAGGGCCGCAGATTAAAAGCATCCACCTTGGACTTGGTAGCATCACTTTCTGTCCACTAGGCCAACATAACTCTATGCTGTCATTGTCATTGTTGTTGTTGTTGGGTGCCGTCAAGTCATCGACAACTCATAGCGACCCTATGAATGAAAGGCCTGAGCACTGTTCATAGAGTTTCCGGAGGCAAGCCATTTCGGAAGTGGATGACACTCCTGCTTCCAGGCTTGTTTGAATCGGGAAGGTAGTACAAAGCCACCAGCCACTTCTTGGGAGAAAGATGGGCAGTCTCCTCCCATGCCATTTACAGCCTCTGAAAGCCCAGTGGACGTTCAGTTTGACTTGGTTCTGACTCCGTAGGAATAGGTTTTCGGGTTTTGTTTGTTTTGTTTTTATTTGGTTCTAAAACATCTGCTTCACTCCAAAGGAAAGCCCAGATGCAATAAGGAGCCTCTTCCTAGTCTCCTCTTTCCTTCGACCCCTGAGAATCTCCTGTGACCCTGGAGGTATTATTCTGGTTCCTTCTTCTAATCACATTGTGCTTCCTTTAACCTTCTCTATCTGACTCCTTTCGCTTGGCATGATAATTTTTAGATTTATCCACTGCATGTTGTAGCATGCTTTCAGTACTTTGTTCTTCTTTACCGTTCAATGTTATTTCATGATGATTTTAGACGAGATGCTTCTGAGAACTCACAGGAGGGTCAGGTATGGGTCAGTTCCAACTCAGCGGTACACAGTAACAACAACATGACAAATCATGGTGATTTGTGTGTATTATATGTCTCATTGTGTATTCTCAACTGTATCAACAACAACAAGAACAAAGTTTGTTACCGTGGCCGCAAGACTGAAGTATGTTAACATTCACTATCTGAGTCATATAGATCATATTCTGCCTACTTCTATGTACCAGACTTTAAAAGAAACAAGGGGAAAATGGAGTCTATTCTAAGAAAGCGGTTTGGATGTTGAAACCATGTTCTATGAAGAGGCAAAGAAATTTAATCTAGAAGGAATAAACATGTTTCAGCATTCTCCGTAAAAATCAGACAGTGAATTCTGCTCCTTGGCATTGGGAAAAAGGAAGTAATGGCTTTGAGTTGTGTTGCTGGTGAAGAACGCTTGAATACACTGTGCACTGCCAACAAGCAGAGACGTCTGCCTTGGAGGACGTGCACGCGGAGCGCCCCTTATAGGTGGGGAGACATGGTGTCACAGACTTTGAGCCGGTTATCAGAGGGGGCCATTCCTCTGGAGAAGGACGCCCTGCTTGGAAAAGTAGAGACTCATCGAGGGAGAAGACTGTCAGTGAGTTGGACGGACACAGTGACCGCAGCAATGGGCTTCAGCAAATGTGCCAGCGGTGCCGGACCGGGCTGGATCTGACTGAACAGGACACGTTAACAGCAGCAACAATAAAACTTGTTGTTCACAGGGTGGCTGTGAGCTGGAACACACCTGATGGCACCTAACAATAACAGTCCAGAGGTGGTGGTGTTGTTCTTGTTCAGTCCTAGAATTACCTTCTGTTCTGAACAGCCCCTTCATTCTTCTAATGTCGAAAGGATCCAGCAGCGGGGGCTTCCGCACGGTACAGTTTCTTGTAAAAGTTAATAAATAATGACTAAAACATGTTCAGCATTATCAAGGATAATATTGCCAAGATGTACAAAAATATAAAGGGCAGAGGAGAGGTTAAGGATTTAAAAGAGCTCACTCGAACGTGTTGGAAATATTCCACTTGGAATTAACCCCCCTACGCGCGGGCAGTTGTGAACGTAGAACGTATCGCACGGGCCACACGATCAATAGTGTCGATTCGGGAAGTGTGGTGCTAATTAATGTGCTTGTTCTCTTTGTTTTCCTGTGAGGTCCAGATATGAGGGCAACAGACTGTTATTCAGTGTTGGGGTTTGGGGTTTCCCCTCGACCTTCAATGTTTTCCACTTACCTAAACAAACCTAAATAAATGACTGTCAAATCAGTCAGAAAAACGGGGAGGGGGCGGCTTCTGTTTCTGGACAGCGTAGGTAAGAACCAGGCATAGAGGTGTGCTGAGTGAAACAGATAGAGGAGCGCTGAGCGAGGGCAGATCCCAGGCCGCAAGGCTGCCTCTCCTGCTCCACTCACAGACGCTCACAGGGAATAGAGAAGTGACTCAAGGGTAAGGCCACCAAGAATGAAAACAGCAAGTGGCACACAAAAGGAGTGACACCAACAATGTGCTGTTAATCAGGCCTGGTGTGAAAAGGTGAGATTCTGAAGTCATCATTGTAATGATAATTACGCACCGATATGATAATACTATTTAGGATATACTAGATTAAACAAAATACACTGTAATTCATTTTGTCTGCTTCCCTCTTGCCTAATATAGGTGCTTTCTATGCTTTGTATACATTTAAATCACAAAAGGGGCTCAGACTTATAGCTCACATTATATTTTTTTCCCACATTATATTTCTATTAGATGGCTCAGTTCCATGAAAGTAGAAACTTGGAATATTCCCCTCCCCCCAGACCCTGTTCTTTTGTCAATCAATTTGGCTAATTCTTAGATCACAGCCTGCAAAATAGAGGCATTGAATAAGTAACTGTTCAGTGAACGAATGAATGAGTGGCTGAAGACTTCCTTGCTACCATTTCTGTTTGTATGATAAGTTGCCAGAGCTCTGGTGACCTGTGGGTAAGCAGTCGCACTGCCAACCTGAGGTAAGCGGTTCAAACCCACCAGCTGCTCTGAGGTAAAAGATGGGCAGTCTCTTCCCGTGCGATTTACAGCCTCTGAAAACTCCCTGGAAGGTCAGCTGTGAGCTGGATCCGACTGAATAGGACACATTAACAACAGCAACAATAAAACTTGTCATAACGTCCTAGACCACAAACAGAAGGAACAAAGTACAAGGACATGGCATCTTTGAAATTATTTTTGGGAACTATGTTCACTTAATCCCATCTTTCGGTGCTGAAGCTCTTTGAGGGAAGGGGTCATGGCTCCTCCCCCTGCATTCTCAGTGCCTGACTAGCCAGGAACCTTAGTAAAACTATCAAAGCCGACTAAGGAGCCCTAATCACCAGGTATTCACTGTGTGGCAGGCACCGTGTGAATTACACATCTGATGTATGAGACCTTTATTAAGTGACGCGGGGAGATCTAGTGGTCTAGTGACTTGTGCATAGGGAGTTACTCTCCAACCCACAGGCAAACAGTTCAAATCCACCTGCTGCACAAAGGGTAATCTCCTCCCGTGTGCTTCGCAACCTCTGAAAACCGGTTGGAGGGTCAGTTATGAGTTAGTTGCAGCTTGCCACCACACAACAACAACAACAACAACAACAACATTAAGTTAGCACAATTGCTTATACATGATTTTTTAAATTTTCTACTAGTTTATTTATAAAATCTGAATACAATGTTTTCAAGAACAAATTCTTTCCATTTCCCTCATCCCCCCACCCAAGAAATTGTACAACCCCCTGATGAAACCCCTCCCCCTGCACATCCTCATTCCTCTGCTTTTAGCCTCTCCCACCCCTCTTGGATCCTATACTCATTCTACAATAATGGTTTTATACAATATTTACCCTTGTGGGACTGAGTTCATTCAGCATAATGCTCTCTGGTTATACTTTTAAGATGACGAGACTACAGGCTAGTACTAGACCCCGGTAGGATCACCCCTGTTGCAAGATTGCTGAGTTGGCTGGTAGAGACCTTTAAAAGCAGATCTTTCTGATTTCATAGGTCATGTAGTTACCGCATTCCCAATGGAGCTGCACTCAAACACCTTGAGAGCGATGAAATAATGTTACAAACAACTGTCAGTGTTGAAGGAAGGTGTGTAATATATGGCTCTTGCAGCCTCTAGCCACCAGTGAGGGCTTTTCCTACGTGGATGGCGGCAGAAAGACCCCACTTTCAAAACATAACTGCTCTTGATACTTTCTTTACGTTCTTAGGCTTTGCTAGTCTGCCTTGGAGGAAGTTAACCAAGGTGCGCCTTAGAGGTGAGAATGGTGAGACGTGGCCTCATTAACTATGGACATGTCAGGAGGCGCCAGTCCTTGGGGGGAAAATCATCATGTGGGAAAGGGAGAAAGTCAGTGGAAGAGAGGAAGAAAGATTCTCAACAAGCTTGATTACCGCAGTGACTGAGCTGCAGCAGGCGGAGATCATGAGGTTTAGCACAGGGCAGGGTGAGGGGCGGATCTGTTGTTCAGAGGGTCGCTATCAGCTGGGTTGTCCTCAACTCCATGGCTCCTAGCAGTAACATAAAGTTTACACTTGATAGTTTGATATTTCCTAGAAAATATTTTATAGTTGCCGATACTTTCTACAAAGGCCGTTTTCACTACATAGTCTCTCATCAGGCACCGAACTGGGAGCTGGGAGACTAAGGCACTCAGTTCCTGCTTCTTCAGTGAAGTCCCCTGTATAACTCTGGACAAGAACTTGACCTCTTCGTACTTTTACTCTCCCTCTCCTGAATGGGCAGAATATCTGTATCACAGCTTAGTTTTGGAGCTTAATGAGCTTTGTCTGCAGAATATCTGAGATTCTTGAGAAGGTGCTATATACATGCAAAATCACGCCTGTTAAGGTTGGTTTTTGAAAGTAGGAGCGGCATCCACTTCCTAAAAATCATGTCTCTGGAAACTCTATGAACTTTGATAAATGTCGATAGTTAAAAATAGGCTTCAGGACTTTTGTTCATAGGGTTGCTCTGAGTTGACTGATGGCAATCGACAACAACAATTACAACAACAACAACAGTTTGGTTTATTTACAGAAACAAACCCACCTAAACCTCTAAACCTGCTATAAAAACCCACAGTGCAGTAACAGGAAGTAGAAGCTGTGGTGACAGTCCTGGCAAACAAGCGAGTGTGTATGGATGGTGGAGCGCGGACGGTAGGCGGGGCCTGGCTGTGCGGTACCTGACTTCCAGATGCAGGACCAGCAGGCAGCGGTCGGCCATGTCCTGGAAAGCCGTGGCGAGCTCGTTCAGGGTCTGCAGGATCTGCTCCGACACGGGCGGCAGGTCCATGTTCACGTGTCCCTCCTGGCCAGGCGACAGCGCTGGGGAAGGGACAGGACACAACAGGCAGCTCGTTAAGCGACCCAGGGCTTTTTCAAACGACATAGTTTGTTGCGAAGCGTGTTGATTTTATCAGTTTGGTTCACACTCGTGTTGGCAGCATCCGAAGTCCAACACATGAGAACTATTTCCGCACCTGATTAAACACAGCGGCCCACCTGATGGCTGTAAATGGATTCATGGGGGGGGGAGGGGGGAGAAAGGGAGCCTTCAGACTGGAGGTGGTCATCTGGGCCAGCTGGTGGGCCCACACGTGCGTCTTTTGTGTCCCTCCAAGTGACTGTCCACTTCTGGCTGCACACATAAGCAAAAGCTAATCAAGAGAGTTGAGTGTTTATTCTGAGACAGCCAACTTTACCTCTATGTAGGAAAAAGATGGACAAACTCCTTGCCTGTGACTTACAGCCTCTGAAACACCCCTGGCGGGTTACTTAGGACTCAACCGCGTATATTTCATCTCCGAAAGGTGCCTATCTTAGATCAAGTCAATATTTGCCTTCCAGTAATTTCTAATCACGGTTCTTGACTCTCTCTAGCTGTGCACCCAAGGAAAAGGCAATCATGGTCACACGTGTCAGCACTTCCAACACTGAAGACTCTGGGCCCCTTAAGTCTTCTTGTCCAGGCTACATGCTCCTACTTCTTCAGCCATTCTTCAAATAACCTGACCAAATGATTTACAATTTTTTAACAAATAATTCCCATTTTTCTCTATTGTTTTTGGGATGTGGGACTCAGGACCAAATGCAATACATACTATGGATGATAGAACTAGACCCCCAGGGTGGCTGACTTGGAGAGACCGCTGTCCTCCAGATGCCCTGCTGCTCACGGATGCACAGCTGGCCACTGTGGTGGGATGAGCTGGGAGTGTCCTTCAGTCTACTTTTGACCCACCTTGAGTATGACTTTCTCTGGAATGATTTCTTCCCACCACCAGACCCAGTTTTTTCCCCCACAGAAATGGAAGAGGCAACAGGATTATGGGGATGGAGGTGGTAGCCAAGGAGAAGTTAGTAAAAACCCCATGTTGGTGTCGCCAACACTAGCAAGAGGTGACCCTAAGTTTCATTTGCTGTTGGAGAATTAAAAGTGGGGGTAGGTTTTTATCTCTTTCTCCTATGCATCAGGATTAGAAGATGACTCATCAACAACCTGTGTTATGCAGATGACACAACTTTGCTTGCCAAAATGGAGAAGGACCTGAGGCGTGGCCTTCAATATGGACTGAAGCGCGATATCAAGAAAACAAATATTCTCACAACTGGGCCGACTGGCAGCATTATGGGAGATGGAGAAGAAATTGAGACTGCTAACAATTTCAACTTTCTTAGTTCCGCAATCAACACTCTTGTTACCCCAGTCGGGAAATTAAAAGACAAATTGCACTGGGAAAATTGGCTGAGGGGGACCTCTCCAGAGTGCTGAATAGCAACAAAGTCAGTCAAGAGACTAAGGTGTGCCTGATCCAGGCCATGGTCTTTGCAACTAATTGCTATGTGACAAAGAGCAGGACAATGACTAAGGATAATAGAGGAAGAATCAATGCCTTTGACTTGTGGTGCTGGAGAAGAGTATTGAACATATGATAGTCTACCAACAGGTCTGTCCTGGAGAGGGTGAAACCAAGTTTCTCCTTGGAGACTAGGATTTTGAAACTCTGTCTCACATATTTTGGGTACACGGCCAGGAGGGTCCGGTCCTTGGAGAAGGACATCATGCTAGGAAGGGTGGAGGGACAGCGTAGGAGAGGAAGACCCAAGATGAGATGGATTGACACGGTAATGGGGTAGATGTGTGAGCGACTGTGCGATTAGCTTAGCATGGGGCAAGTTTCAGAGCTACTGTACACAGGGTCTCCATGAGTCACAAGCGACTCAATGACAAAACAACATATACATCTTGCCAAAGTCTCCTGCTCTCACTCTGTCTGTTACACATGGCACTTACTTTTGCCCTTTACTCAATAGATGGCGTCTGTAAGTGGTGTTAGAGATACTCCTGTTTCCCATAATACATGTATAAAAAGTTGCATACAAATAATGCACCTCTCTTGGAGATTTTGCTGGTTGGAGGAATGGAGAGATGAGAAATCTTAATTCCATTCTCACACTGAAAAGCTCAGTTTATCTGCTATGTACATTTAGATTCCTGTATGGCAGCATTTCCTACTTAAGTCCTGCTTTGCTCCACTTTAGGAAATGGTAGCCTTGCAGCTCAAGGCTCTCCCTCAGCATGGTAACGCCACCCCCAAAGTGGACTGCAGAGAGTCATCAAGCTCTAAGTTTTCTCTCTTACATTTAATATTCTCTTCGGAAAGTGTGTCCTTGTTAATAAGACTTGAGTGAAAAGAATCTTGAAAATGTCACCTGAAGAGCCTTTTGTGGTTAATGTTAAGAGCCAAAACTTTCTACAACAGAAACAGAATTGTAATAATTCAGGTCTAATTCTAATTCTGGCCTCCCCTCGGGAGGTTCACTGTTCCCACCCTTCAACCTTCACCTAGCGCCTCGGCAGTGTTTCTGCCTGCCTGTGCTCTGAAATGCAGCTAAGAAGACTTTGTGTGGGGAGAAGGGTGCAACAATGAATGAATGGAATCCCAAAATCTCTGTAGATGTTCATTGAAATGAAAAATAAACAACCTAAATTAAAAAAAAAAACAAAAACAAAATCACTATCAATGAGAATCTTCTGCTTTCAGTTTATGAACCTCGTGGGTGGCCCTCTATGTTCATGGCTGCAGCAAATTCAACATTTAAGAAATTCATTAGAGGAAGTTAAAGGTAAGACCAGTTGCTGCATTAAATCTTGGAACGAGTGAAATAAAGCCGTTTAGAACAGCACCTTGCTATGCATGCATGTTCTCTGACTGTAATCTATAGTAAACCGACAACATTTTGTTAAAGAAACACAAAATATTATACCCAGAGCGACGCTCCTTAAAGGCCGGCCTGTGAATTCCAGAGGGCTCAATGAATTTTACTAACTCTTCTTAACTGGAGGGACCACACTGAGCAAAGAAATGCTGAGTCTGCCAAACAAAGACAGCCCGAGTAATTAACTAGCTCTTAAATGTCAAATGGAAATCTACAAAAAAAGCAATGCTAATAGAATTTGCTTGCAAGATTCAAGTCAAAGTATGAGGCATGCTTACACACACCACACACACACACACACACACGATATGTACACTGTCTCTTGAGTTGTATAAATCAAGGATTACTCTCCTCTTAGCAGAACCATCAAAAGTATTAGGAACAGGTCACTTTATGATGAGAAGCACTTTGAGAATTTTTCCTACCCTGGAGGTTGTTGTTTTGTGCTGTTGAGTCAGAATGAACTCATAGCTGACCCTTCAGCAGGTTTTGAGAAGCAGTAAATCACATGGGCAGAGACTGTCCAGTCATCTCCTGTGGAGCAGCTGGTGGATTTGAACTATGTGCCTTTGAGGCTGCAGTGCAAGCTTCTTACCATTAGGGCACCAGAGTGCATATCAAAGTACACATGTTCCTACCCTTTCTTTTTTTTTTTTTAAAAAAAAAATTTAAAATGTTATTATTTTGTTTGTGTACCATCAAATCAGATCTGAATGGTTCAGGAGGAGATTACACCTCCTTTTCCAGCAGAGAATCTGGTGGATTCAAACCTTATACCTTTGGGATTGCAGTGCAGCTTCTGACCACTAGGGCACCAGAGCTCATATCAAAACACATAGGATGTTAGTGCCCTTTCTATGATCATCACATAAAGGCAGGCATCTTTGAGGTTCTTAGCTACCTATGATCTCTTCAAATATGCTGAGCCCCAGTTTCTGGGGCAGTCGCTGCTTGCTGGGTGAACCCACAAATATCATCACTTCCCTTCTCCTTGGCTCACATTGTTCGGGACTCTGGGAAGCTAAACATTTGCATCTTCAGCCTTGCCGTAGGCAGAGGTGCCATGGACGCAGTCTGAGGGAGGCTCTCCTAAGCAGAGTCTTCTGATGGCTTTTGGGAACAGCTTTACCAGAGAAAAGGAGTGAGTGAAGGCTGTCACCTGTTTCCTCCTCTCACCCGCTTTCCTGAGTGGCTTGTGGAATCCAAGGCTGCAGGTCACCTTGCTGCTGAGAGGGAGAGCTAGACCCGGAGGGGCAATAACCCCCACCAGGAACCACTAGCCTTCAGAACACACACTCACCAGCTCAGGCCACTGAAAATGTTAGTGCAAGAAATAACTTGTTGCCAAATGTCCTCAGCCTCTGAAATTTTAAACTCTAGTATCATATTCTCAGATCAAAAGCTTTCCTCCAGCTCTTACAAATCTTTGTTTCGATTGTGCCTACTACACCCTGCTTGTAGGAATATAGTGTTCATGCCAAGTGTTTCTGGCACACGGCACAGCCCTCACGTACACCAATTTCCTATGTACATGCATGCTGTGATGATGGCTCTATGGTGGGTGTGTCACTTACAAAAAATAAAATTGTTCCTTCATTTTCTCTAGTGTGCTCAGTATGGATTACACACAGAGCAACACTTAGCCACTGTTTAATGCTCATCTGTACCAGAAACACCCAGTACCTTGAGTCCTGTTCTTTGCGTACAATCCTGGTAAGCCATTGATGTTGAGTGTGTTTCAATGCCTGGTGATCCCACGGGGCAGAATAAAGTTTCCCCACAAGAGTTCCCAAGGCTCGGTCTCTATGGAAGCGGCCTGCCACTTCTTTCTCCCAAGGAGAGAGTCTGAACAACCAACATTTCAGTCAGCAGCCAAGAACTCAGCCAGCGCACCATCAGGGCAATCTTCTGAATTTCACTGGTTCCACAGGAGTTTGGTAAAGAGGTACTTCTTTCACACCCTAGCCTGACCACGCTAGTTTCTTGGGTGTTTTTTTTTTAATGTAAGTGTCACTGCTTTGCGTTGCTTATATCATCAAGGCCAAGTTCTCGGCAAGGCTTCCCATGGCCAGCGTCTACCTCCAATCGTCCGGCTTCTCTCCACT